ATCGGCCACGGGGGGGGGATCCTCTGAAGGCAGCTCTGCCCACCGCCATCCCTGGCCAGGGCCATCCTAGGCCCTGGGTTTGTATACACACATATATATATACAAAAGTATGTACTCATATACGTGCATTCATATACGTGCACATGCCTGTATCAATATGGGGGTGCCCTCCTGCCCCCGATCAAGGGGTCTATACGCTGTCCTGGGGCCCGTTGGGGCGCAGGCCGGGGATGGTGCTGTGAAGCCGCTGCAACGCGGAGGGGAAGAGGCGGGGGTCCGCAGCGTGGACGCGAGCGCGCATCGCTGCCAGGCCCCCTCTCCTGCCCCGCAGGCCCGCGCGGTGCGCCTCCCCCGCCTTCCCCAAGGAGGAGGAGGAGGCGGAGAGGGAGGAGGGAGGGGGGAGGTGGACGAGAAGGAAAAGGAGGACGACATGGAGGGGGGGGAGCGGGAGAGGAGGAGGACGAGTGAGATGAGGAGAGGAGGAGGTGAGGAGAGAGGAGGAAGGAGAGGTTGGGGGAGGGAGGATGATATGAAGGAGGAGGACGAGGAGGAGAGAGAAGGAAGAAGGGAAAGGATGAGGAGTATGAGGAGGCTGCCCCTCCCCCTCCCCCTCCCCTCCCCCTCCTCCTCCCTTCCCCACTGCTCCTCCTCCTCCTCCTCCTCCTCCTCCTCCTCCCGCCTCCTCCTCCTCCTCCTCCTCCCCCTCCTCCTCTCCTCCCCTCTCCCTCCGAGAAGCTCAGGGTCGGGTTGACCGCGTAGAAGCCCGCCGTGGGGGGTCGCGTCACCTCGACGCCGAGGGTCGCCATGTAGATCAGAGGCGCGCCGGCCCCTCACCAACAGGGGCATCGCCACTCGCACCAGTGGAGCGAATGACGTAGACTACCCAACAGTCGGGGGTTGCGCCCCTGGCCCAAGGTGCCCCCAGCTTTTCGCTAGATTTTGGAGCCCCTGGGACCCTCTGGGCCTCGTGAGGGGTGCTCTTGAGGCCGTGGGGGCCTCCTCGGATATCTTGGGGGCACTTTGGGCCAAGGGCACTTCTAGCAATACCCGAAACGGAGCGACAGTCCATCGGGTCCCAGAGCGCAACTAAACAAAGTGGCTCGCTGCTCTGGCGTTTTTTTTGATTTCTGTAGTGTTGCCACCGTTGATGGCAATCGGCAAAGCCTGGTTCAGGGCGGCGTGTCTGGCGCTCCGAAGCGTTCGAACATCCGAGACGTCGGAACTCCTTCCTGTTCTTCTTCCGCCTGCATTCTCCGTCCGTGGGGTTTGGGAGTAGCGACGTGGAAGAGGAGAGGGAAGAAGCGACGAGGGTGGGGAGCCAGGAACCATTTCGGGCCCTGGCCCCTGCTCGTGCAAGATCCGCTTCAACATTGCAGTCGCATCCCACCTAGCATCTCCAGGGGCAGATGGGGGAGGCAGGGTGGAGCGGGGAGGGTAGGAGTGAGGAGGGGGGAGGGAGGGGAGAGACGGGGGAGGGAGCGGGGGAGGGCGAGAGGGAGGGTGAGAAGGGCGGGATGGGAAGGGAGGCCGTGATCCTTGATCCTTGGGAGGCTCATGGTCAGACTGTCGTGCCCCTGCGGGATCCCGAAGGAGGGCGCATGGGGACGGGGCGGGTGGAATAGGGGGTCAGGGCGGGGATGGAAGGGGTGCCGGGACGGACGAGGAGGGACGGCAAGCAACGGAAGAGGTGGCGCCAGCCCCCCTGCATACGAATATGCTCCCCAGGATGGTCGAGCAGTTCACGTAGATCAGGGACGTGTAGGAGCCCAGGCTCGTCGCGTTGATGTGCACAGGCAGTAAGACGAGGCTGCCGATGAGGGTCCACACGGGGAGGCAGATCTGCGTGTCGTAAAACAGCTTGCCTAGGCCTGAGCAGGAGCTGGCGCAGAGAGGGGCGGTGGATCAGCCGCTCGAGTCTGGCCGCTGCCGCCCCTCGGGCGTCGCCCAAGGGGGGGGGCGATAAATGGGGGGGGGGGGCAGCGAGGGCTGCAGAAAAGAGGCCCGTTGGGGCCCCTAAGAAGGGCCCTCTGCTAGGGCCCCGAACGGGGGCCTCTCGCGATAAGTGCACCTTTCTCTTCCCCCCATGTGTATCGCCCACCCGTGGATGAGGAGAACAATCACTTATCGTGCTGGGAGGAAGGGGTTGGGAGGATGAAGGGCATGGGCAATAGCATCAAGATGCCACGAACGATACCTTCGGCCGCCTCGGGGTAATGCTGACATCCCCACTTCTCAGAGCCCCGTCCTCCCAACCCGTCAATTGCCTTCCTGAATCAAGCGACGCCCAACCCCCCTCCCCTCCCGGGAGGCAGGCCGCGACTCGGAGGAGTGGGCGCCTGCCCAGAACCCGCCATGGCCCTTCCTCTTGTCACACGGGGGAGGGCGAAGAGAACTATGCACATGCACCGATCCTGGTAAGGCCCATCCTTGACCCAGGATCGTTGCATATGCTTTCCTGGCCACTGTAGGAGGGCGTATGCACCGATCCTGGGCTAAGGATGGGCCTGGCCAGAATCGGTGTATGTGCATAGTTCTCTTTCCTCTAACGGGGAGGGGCCGAGGCAAGGGACCCCGACCTGCGACGTCGTGACTCAGTCCCAGCGCCGACCGCCAAAGGTCTCGACCCCTTGCCCGGGATGGCATCTCATCCCGAGTCGTTTTCTGATGGTATCGAAGCCTGGAAGGTCCCCTGGAGGCCGAAAATGGCGAAACACCTCCCGTCGTGTTATGTTGCTCTCATCGTGCCTAAGGGCCACATGCCAACCATAAGTTCGAGCACCCAGAGAAGCGTCAAAACAGTGTCGAACGCGTATCGACTCCTAGGGCCCCGCTCGTGAAAACCCTTCAGTCCCACCAGCCCTCTGGGCGTCGGTGGTTTAGGGCGTTTCCTCTTCCACCCCTCCTTCTTCCCCTTCGGGGAGGGGTTGATCACTGTTCCCTATTAATGAACACCCCCTCCCCCAGGCGACTGGGGGCCAACCCAGGTCCATGGCACCCCCCCCACAATCCCTTGTAAAAAACAAATCAAAACACACTCTGCCTCCAAATTCGGAACATGCGCAGCCAACCCGATGCGCCCCCCCACCATCCCTGTCAACAAAAATACAGAGTACACTTGGCGGAGGCGGCGGCGGCTGCGGCGGCGGCTGCGGCGGCAGCGGCGGCGGCGGCGGCTGCGGCGGCTGCGGCGGCGGGGGCGGCGGCGGCGGCGGCGGTGGCGGCGGTGGCGGCGGCGGCGGTGGCGGTAGCGGCAGCGGCTGCGGCGGCGGCGGCAGCGGCGGCGGCGGCGGCGGAGGCGGCGGTGGCGGCAGCTGATTGGCCCCCAGTAGCTACCCATCCAAAGACGACTGCTAAATATGCAGAGGCTCGGGCCAGACTCGGGTGCTACGTATGTGTTGGGAGGGCGGGTGGGAGTGAGCGAGACGGCTTGCGGGCGGGGGGGTAGCTTGACCCCTCCCCCTACCCCCTCCCCATGGACCTGGAGAGGGGGGGGCCGCGAGGTGTCAGGGCGTCCAAAATGACCTCGGCGAGGAAGCCAACATCATTGATTTTACTAGGGTTGTGGCCCCAATTTTGGCCTCCTGGGGGGCAAGGCTAATTAATGCTCCGCTCTTCTTTAATAGATCTCCTCCAAGATGGCACGAAGAAGCGCCCAGGAGGCCCCAAGAGGTCCCGAGATGACCCCAAGATGGCCCCAAGAGGCCCCCAAGAGGCCCCCAGGAGGCCCCCAAGAAGACCCTCAGAGGCCCCAAGAGGCCCCCCCCGAGGCACCCAAGACCCCGAAGAGCCCCCCAGGATCGCCAAGAGACCCCGAAGACGTCCCAAGAGGCCACCAAGAATCGCCCAAGAGATACCCCAAGAGGCTCCGAGAGGCATCCAAGAGACCTCTGGCCCTTGTGCTTGCCCTCCTCCTCCTCCTCCTCCTCCTGTTCCTCCTTCTTGCTCCTACTCCTTCTCTTCCTCCTCCTCCTCCTCCTCCTCCTCCTCCTCCTTCGCCTCCTCCTCATCCTATTCATCCTCCTTCTTCCCACTCTCTCATCCATCCATCCATCCACCTGCTCCTTCTCCTCCTCACTCCTTTGCACGGTTCGCCCGTCCTCCTCTTTGCTGCCGCACTTCCCTGATCACCTCAACTCGCCTGGACATCGTTTCTGGATGGGCTGGTGGGGATACGCGAAGCGTTTAGAATTTCGGTACGTTCTCGGTGCTCGAAACTCTTCCTGGTGATCAAGGCCAAAGCAGGTTGGCACATCACAATGGTCCCGAGTCGTCTCTTGACGGCCCCGAGGCGCGGCAAAGGGCCCCCTGGAGGCCGAGACTGGCGAACAACCTCCCGCCGTGTTTTTTTTTCCAGCGCGACAGGGCCTCGGGAGGCCGGGGCTCCCCTCTCCCCTCTCCCCCCCCCCGGGGCTCCCGGGGGAGCCAGCCCGGCCGCCTCGATCGCACCCAGAGAGGCCGCTGCCCGTCGCGCGAGTCAGTCGCGCACGGGCCCGTGCGCGGCCATCTCCGCCGCGCCCTCGCGAGGCCGCGCATGCCTTGGAGCAGGGCGCGCCGCCTCTCCGGCCCAAGCCGCGGCGAGATGCGCGAGACGCGCAGGTCTGCGGGAAGCGACCCTGCGAGGTGACCCCCCCCCCGCGCTGGGCCGTGCGCTCATAGACACGGGGGGGGGGGGGGGCGGCTCTGCAACCGCCGTCGTCCCTGGCCGGGGCCCCCTCCTGGTGGCGGGCACGGCGTGCACGGTGCGACTGCCTCTCTGCCGCGCTGTGCACCACCTGTCCGGCCCCGCCGCCCCCGCCCCGGCCAGAAGCCAAGGGGAGGGGGGGGCTGAGACGCCAAGCGCGGGCAAGGGCGCCTGGCGATTGGGGGGAGTACCCTGGAGGGGAGCAGAGGGGGAGCCTTATGATTCAGCGCGACCGAATCATAAGGATGCGCGGCGAGGATACGTGACCCGTGGGCGCGCCCATCTTCAAGCCGAAACTGGCAGCCCACTGTGAGGGGACCAGGGCGGCCGAGAGACAAGGATGCGAGGGCACCCTTGGAACAGTACTTGTCCTCGTGAGCGTTTTCTTGTTTGGCGTTGCGACATTGGGCGGAAGGCCGGGGGGGGGGTGAGGCTCTGGACCTCTGCATAATGCGATGTTTGCAACAGTGCGTCCCTTATGGGGAACACTCCACCTGTTCGAAACAGGCGCCCCAAACAAGCAAGATCTACTCTATGGGAGAGAGGGGGGGTGACGGGGGGTGCGAGGGCCCGCGCCGATCGGAAAAACAACGCATAAGAAAACGATAACATTACTCGTCGTTGTGATCCTGCTTGATTGTACGCCCTCCTGGCCGAGGCCAGGAGGTCTACAGTATCTCGGGGCCCAGAAGGGCCTTGGCCAGGCACGCTGGTGGTGGTGGTGTGCAGGTGCCTTCGGCTGGAGAGTCAACAAACACCGATACCGGGACTCTGCGGACACCTCGTGGGGTGCGTTCTGACCAGCATTCCGGCGCAATACATGTGCAACAGAATTGCCCCAAATCTATAGCACCACCCCCTTTCTGCTGGACCCCCCTCTTGGGTGTGCTTGACCGACCCCGCTTGGACGGAAGTCCCCGCCATTCCCGCACCGGGCCGAGGCGCTCGCCGGGCGTGCCCGACTCGGCGGGGCCCCGAGGCCTGAGCTCTCCCCCCGGGGGGCAGGACGCCAGCCCTGCCTCGCCCTGCCTGCCTTCGTCGTGGTGATGAGGATGGGGATTGCGAAGGTGGTGGCAATGGTGGTGTTGGCGCAAATGACGATGATGCTGCTTAGCATGGTCATCATCGGCACCGTCCACAGCATTCCCATCGCCATCATGATCATCGTAGCCATCACCCTCATTCACCATCATCATGATTACCATAACCACAGGAGTAATCATCATCAGCATGAGCATCAGCAACAGCATCACCATAACCATCATCACCATCATCACCATCATCACCATCATCACCATCACCATTACCAGCACCAGCACCATCATCATCATCATCATCATCATCATCATCATCATCATCATCATCATCATCATCAGCATCATCATCATCAGCATCCTCATCGTGACCCTCATCCTCATCCTCCTCATCTCCATCATCATCACCATCATCATCATCATCAACAGTAGCAGCATCACCATCATCGCCATCGCCGTCACCATCAATATCACCATCACCTTCGTCATCATCATCAACACCATCATCGCCAACACAACCAGCACCAACATCAAACTCAACATCAACATCACAATCACCAGCATCAGTCCCCGCACCATCATCACCTCCATGATACTCATCAGCATCAGCAGCATCATCATCATCGGCATCAGCAACATTATCACCACCAGCATCATCGCCATCATCATCACCACCATCATCACCATCATCACCACTACCGCCATCATCATCACCAGCATCACCATCCGCATCATCATCAATAACATCATCATCCTTACCACCATCACCGTCACCATCACCATCATCATCATCGTCATCACCATCAGCATCATCAGCATCACCATCGTCATCATCATCACCACCACCATCACAATCATCACCACCACCATCATCATCATCACCATTCTCATCATCACCACCATCAGCACCATCACTGTCATCATCATCATCATCATCATCATCATCATCATCATCATCATACTCAGCATCATCATCATCATCATCATCAGCATCAGCATCATCATCATCATCATCATCATCGTCATCGTCATCGTCTTTGACATGGTCAACGTCATCGACCTCGTCATCGTCATCATCACCACCACTAACACCATCATCACCATCTTCATCCCGTCCCTCTGTAACTTGTGCGTCCCCGGAGAGGATTGGGCAGGGAGTCCTCGCAACAAGATGAGGGGGGGGAGGAGAAGGAGGAGGAGGAGGAGGAGGAGGAGAAGGTGGAGGAGGAGGAGGAGGAGGAGCAAGAGGAGGAGGAAGGATGAAGATGGAGGAAGAGGAACGAGGGGATGGGAGAGGAAAGGAGAGAGGCCCTGCCGGGCAGGACCTTCGCCGATGCTCAGGGAGTAGAGCCCCAAGACCTGCATGGGGTGAGGGGGATGGAGGGGGGGCACTCGCGCGTCCCCCCTCCTCCTCCCCCTCCTCCTCCTCCTCCTCCTCCTCCTCCTCCTCCTCGTCCTCTTCCTCCTCCTCCTCCTCCTCCTCCTGCTCCCCCCTCCTCCTCCTCCTCCTCCTCCTCCTCCTCCGCCCCCTCCTAGTATGTTCCTCGCTCCTCGCGCTTCCTCGTCCTCGTCTTCGTTCTTCCCCTCCTCCTCCTCCTACTTCTCATTTCCTGAACTCCTCGCTCCACCTCCTCTCGGGTCGCACGGGCCCGAACAGCTTCGCCGCCCTCCTTGCTCTGGAATATGGCGGCGAGGCTGGCGGGCAGGGGGGGATGGGGAGGGGATGACTCAGGAAAGGGGGCAAACATACGGAGATGCGATGAAGACAACGGGCATGCGTATATACAATGTTATACATATTTGTCACATGTATATCTGAGTACCGCATACATACACATACACAGAATATCGTATATGCGTTATGTGTATGTGATTATACATGTATGTTCATGTATGCATGCGAAAACTTAGATGCTAGCCAACGTGAATCTCGAACAGTGAGTTATTGTACCGTGGAGGTAGAAGCTATACGGTGAACACTATGAGTATGCAGGTTGTGAGCGACGTTGTGTAATATACATGGCGTGCGCTGGAGGTTTTAGCTACGCGGTGTAAACTATGCGGCGTTCATTTACCAGTGGGCATTGCAGCCGCCAACTCCAATGCTCGCGACATCATCCCACCGTCCCCCCCGCAACTGGTTTCGCAAAAACCGTTCGGCTTCGACTGCGGTTGCCGATCGGATCTTACTGTTTCGTCTCTGCGGTCGCACTGGCGCGCGCGCCCGCTCATGCGCAGCTCGGCCAGCTGGTTTGGCACAAAAAATGTGGCCGCGATGGCGATCATGGATGGGGCCTTCCCAGCGCGTCTCGAAGATCGCGTTGGCGCGCGGGCGCTTCAATCTAGGTCGGCGACTCGGGCGGGCGCAATATCATGGGCCGCACTGGTGCGCGCGGGTTCACAAGTGGATCGGCCAGCTGGTTTGGCACAAATGATGCGGCCGCAATGGCGCTCACGTATGGGAGCTTCCTCGCGCGTCTCAAAGGTCGCGCTGGCGCGTGGCCACGTCAATCCAGGGTCGGTGACCCAAGCGGGCTTGATGACATGCTGACGTCGGCAACGGCGGCGTCGACGATGCCAGCGATGACGAAGGCGGTGATGATCCTGACGATGGTGGTTATAAAGATTATAATGCTGCTGATGATGGTAACGATGGCGATGACAACGCTGACAACGATGATGACAATTGCGCTTATGAAGAGGATGGGACAATATGCGCCCGCAACCATCACACCATCCAAACGTGATCTCGATGTGCGCGCACAGAACCGTGATTGGACCTGACGACTGCAATATTTCGACTGATGATGGCGATGATTACGATGCCAATGATGATGCTGACGGCGATGCGACTGCGCCGAGAGCGATGCGAAAGTGCACGCCAGCAGAAATCAAGCCATCCCGACATGATCTCGACGTGCGCGCGGTAACGTGCAAATGTGGCCCGCATTGTCTCATTCGACCGAACTGGTGGGCGCGCGATGGCGGTTGCACGAGTCCGCCATGCGTGCGCAAGTGGCTCGAATGGTCTGATCTGGCAGAACGGCTGAACTACTTCGGTTTTCTTAAGATGTCAACGAATGCGCACGCACATAATTCCAGCAACTTCTTTTTCCCAGACCAAAAGTGTTGATAGGTGTTGACAGGTCGGGTGTTGAAATTGCTGAGGAAGAACCGTGCTTCTATACTTCTCGTGCGCGCGACGGTGCGCTCGTGTGGACTGCGTGCCGCATTTTGCTGTCTGCAAGTGGATCTAGAAACGTGATCCATATTGATCAGCAAATGCGCGCATCGTGTTATTTGGCAAGAACGGCGGGGTAGGGGGGGGCAAGACGGGCTGGGCTAGGATGGTAGGATTGCAAGACCATGTGCAATTTGCTGTCCCACGGGGGCCCGGTAGCCCAGCTGTGGTGGTGCAGTCCGGCTGCCTCTTTGAAAAAAAAACGGAAGATCTATGCAGTGTAAGATGTGCGTGCTAAATATGTGGTGTAAACTATATCGTGTGAGCTTGTGGTGCAAGACATGTAGTGTCAGCCCAGCGCACGGGGCGCCGACGAGCCACGAGGCGGCACTTGCGGCAACGTGAAGCAACATCGACGGACCCACTCCGCGCAGGGGGCGCGCACGAGCGCCCACGGGGCGGCTTCTCGTAGCGCAGCTGCGGCGGACCCACCCAGCGCACGGGGGTTTTACGAGCGCCCGTCGAGCGGCAACGTGGAAAACCTTCGGCGGACCCGCCCAATCACTCAAGGAACGGAACGAAGAACTCGGAAGTGCAGGCGCTGATACGGAAATTTGCACCGATACAAATACGTAGGGACATCTCAGGATATACAGGTCTACATCTGCATAACGATAGTGCTGTTCACCTAGATGTACCTGAAACCTACAGGGTACATGCATGTATGTATGTATGTCTATGTTTACATCTACATCTACACATATATCCATATATATATATATGTATATATATGTGTGTTTGCGTACATTTATGTACATCGCGCTCGTGTGTGTATCTATAGATGTATCCCCTAAATGGTGCTTGCACAGGCTCTCACTTTAGCACCAAGGAACTGGGCCTGTCGCTGTGGCAGCTATGTTGCCGCCGTCGCCGCCCCATCGCCGCCTCGTCGACACCCGTCGTCTGGGCTTGTCTGCCAGTCTGACGGCTATGTTGCCGCCGTCGACGCCCCGTCGCCGGCTCGTCCCCGCAAGAAAAATAGGTTCCCATTTTTTGTGAAACTAACTTCGGATATACCATCGTCCCGAAGCTTGATCTATCTGGGGATGTGAAATTTGCACACGTTTTTGCCCCATCGTTCACTCTGAATACGAACCAATACTATCACAACTAGGCTGGGTTCCCCCCCATGGTCCCGGTCAAATGCTATACCACTCGCACGCACCATACCCATGTGCAATAGTCCTTTGCAACACTCTGGGACACACGCGCGCGTCGTCGCGCGCGCATGCCGAAATTCCTGGTAAAACCTCGGGTGTCGTAAGAATTGCACATTCGAGTGTCCCGAACACGTATGAACAATGAATTGTTTGCAAACTACTATTAATTTCTAAAAGGGTCGGCGCGCACGCTCCTGCGAATTTTTGATCAATAGCCATCGGTGTCAACACTTCCATCACATGCGACCAAAAAGGGGCCCTCGCATGCGCATCGTGAACTCATTCGAAAGACGTTGCGCGCTTGCTGGGGTGGTGGTGGGGAGGGGGGCGCGATCCCAATCATATAACACCATCCAGGCCACTCGCGCACTTCGGCTGCGAACGCATGTCGAAGTCATTCGACCGCCTTTGCGCGTTTGCTGGGGGCGCTGGCGTGCTCGGCGTCGGCGCCGTCATTGGGCGCTAGCGCGGTGATGGGGGCGGGCCAATTACGTGCGATTGTGCCCTATCGATTGTTTTGAATATGGGCTTCATGCCGTCCCAATCAGGGCCAACTCCCGCCCGTCGTCCTCGTCGAATCATACTCTGCGCGCGCTCGTCTATCGAGAGCCAGCCGTTTGCGAAAGTCCCACGCAACGGACGGGGCGAAGTGCGCGCTTGCCCCTGCCGCGAGCGCGCGCCGACATTGTTCAAACATTCTGGGTTTCGCAATGGTTTCGGGATCGAAAAACAACCACTTGTTTTCCGACGTTTTCATCCAATGCGACCGGACGGGCCCCTCGGGCGCGCGCGCGCGCGTCGGAATCATTCGTGCTCCCGTGCCCGCGCGCGGGGGTGGGTGGGGGGCGGGATGGGTGGGGTGGGCGATCCCGGCGAAATCGCGCCGCGCGGGCAACTCGCGCGCGGCGGCCGCGCGCTCGCGTCGAAATCCTCCCCGAACGTTCACCAACGACGCGTGGGTTCCAGTATCGTTGCCGGCATAATCAGCATCGGCGCCGTGATTGGCCTTGCTGTCGTCTTCGTCAGTATCGTCAGCAACAAAGCTACTACTATCATCATAACCATCATCATCATCGTCATCATCATCATCATCATTATCATCATCGCGTCTGCCGCCGTCAACATCGCCATGGGGCCGCGCCCGCCCGACTAAGTGGCCGACTCCCACTGGACTGCCCGCGCGTCAGCGCCGCCTGCGACACGTGCCAGGCGGCCGCGTCGGTCGCGCCAAATCAGCGGGCTGCTCTGCGCGCGAACCCGCGCGCTAGCGCGGCCGCGGCGGTGCGCCAGCCAGCGCCGAGCAGCCAGCGCAATCGCTGATAGGCTGGTTTTGCAGACCAGCATGCGGGTGGGCGGGTGTTGCGCGAGAATTGGAATTGGCAAATTCACCGCGAACAGCAGCTACTTACAAGTTATCTTCGCCGCATAGAATCCGGGCCCACCCCTCCTTCGGATTATCGACGCGCGCTGTGGTCGTGCAGTGTAGATTTTGATTCCGCCCCATCGTGCGTTTTAGAAATTAACCCACGCCACCCCGGCTAGGGCAACTTCCCTCTCATATTTTTTCCGCGCGCGCTCGTTCATCAAAACCGTCCGTTTGCAAGAGCCCCGTGCGGAGTCTTGCAAAAAGCTCCGGTTTGCTCGGGTTTGTAAAATCTTGTGTCCCGAAACCATTTGGGTAACGCGTGGTTTTGCACCGTGGGGTTTTTTGTCCAAAATGCATGCGCGCGCACTTCCGAATTCGGACAGGAAAAAAGGAGCTTTAACATGTCAACACATGCGCCCAACCAGGCTTTTCGCGCGCGCGTCGGAATCATTCGAACGCCCTTACGCGCGTGCTTGGGGGGGGCATTGGGCCACTCGCGCGCGTCGGCCGCGCGCGAACGTCGAAATTCGCTCAAAACCTTCATCGCCGACACGCGGGCACCATCGTCGTCGTGATCAGCATCGGCGCCGTCATTGGCCATGCCGTCGTCATCAACATTCTCGCCAAAAAACATCGGTACTAACATGTTCGCGTCTGCTGCTGTCGTTGTCGCCATGGTGCCGCGCCCGCCCGATATCGCCGATTCGCACTGAAGTGCCCGCGCGTCAAGACGCGCTGGGAAATCCCCAACAAGCAACGCAAACGCGGCCGCGTCGGTCGCGCCGGACTAACTGGCCGCTCTGCGCGCTGGCCTGCGCGTACTAGCGCGGCCGCAAGCCTGCGCGTGCTAGCGCGGCCGCAGCGATGTGCCAACCAGCGCCAAACAGCCGCCGCAATCGCCGCAGCGTAGGTTTTGCAAACCAAGATGCGTGTGGGTTGGTGGGATGTTTGCGCGAGCAGTGGAGTTGGTAACTTCACGCTCGGCAGGGCGAACTGCATCACGTAGTTCGCACCACATAGACTGCACCACATCAGTTGCGCCAGATATATAGCACAAGCCACAGATTACACACCGTAGGTTGCACCATAGACACTGCGCCAGACATACATTGCACAACGCTTTTGTTGCACAGCATCGGTTGCACCGCGCACATTGGATCATGCAACTTGCACAAATTATATGCTGAGCAACACACAGGTTGCACACTATAGATTTCAATGCGTTGGTTCGGGATGTACGCTGGCTCATATACGTACATATGTATGCAAACACACATACACCCATACACAGCGAGGGCAAATGGGATAAACATGCCGGGAACAAAACAGAGAGTTCGACAGTAGCAACCACAACAACACCAACAACAAAAAAATCACCAACGCAGAGAAGCAAACAATATCGCAGTAGGGCTGGCAAAAGTTTAAGTAGTAGTCGTCGTAGTAGTAGTAGTAGTAGTAGTAGTAGTAGTAGTAGTAGTCGTCGCATATGTAGTAGTAGTGGCAGTCGTTGTGGCCATAGTCGTAGTCGTACTCGTAAACATTTTGTCAGTAGTAGTAGTAATCGTAGTCTTAGAGGTAGTAGTCGTAGTAGTCGTAGTAGTAGTAGTAGTAGTAGTAGTAATCGTAGTAGCCGTCGTCGCAATAGTAGTGATAGTCGTAGTAGTAATAGTAGTAGTAGTAGTCGTAGTCGTAGTAGTAGTAGTAGTAGTAGTAGTAGTAGTAGTAGTAGTAGTAGTAGTAGTAAGAGTCGTAGTAGTAGTAGTAATAGTAGTCGTAGCAGTAGTGGTAGTAGTGGAAGTAGTGTTAAAGTAATAGTCGTACTAGTAGTAGTAGTCGTAGTAGTAGTAGTAGTAGTAGTAGTAGTAGTCGTAGTAGTAGCCGTAGTAGTAGTCGAAGGCGTAACAGTAGTAGTATCACGCGTAACAGTAGTAGTATCACGAGTTGCCGTAGTCGTCCTTGAAGTGCTAGTAGCACTAGTAGCAGTAGTAGCAGTAGTAGTAGTAGTAGTAGTAGTAGTAGTGGTAGTAGTAGTAGTAGTAGTAGTAGTAGTAGTAGTAGTAGTGGTAGTAGTAGTAGTGGTAGTAGTAGTAGTAGTAGTAGTAGTGGCCGTAGTCGAGATATAAATACTTACAATCTCGCAATTGTGGTACACATTATGTGTACCACACAATTGTGGTATCACTATTAGCGGTGTGTTACAATCTCGCAGTTGTGGTATCACTATTAGTGATGCACACAAGCATACTAGTAGTGGTATTTGTCGCTGGTAGTCGTCGTAGTAGTAGTCGTCGTAGTAGAGGTAGTCGTTGGGGTAGTAGTAGCAGTAGTAGTAAGGGTAGTAGCAGTAGCAGTGGTGATAGTACTAGTCGTAGTAGTAGTATTAGTAGTAGTAGTAAGCGTAGTAGTAGTAGTAGTAGTAGCAGCAGTAGTAGTAGTAGTAGTAGTAGTAGTAGTAGTAGTAGTAGTAGTATGCGTGGTAGTAATCGTAGTAGAACTAGCCATTGTGGTAGTAGTCGTAGTAGTCGTAGTAGTCGTCGTCATAATAGTAGCCGTGGTCGTAGCGTAACTGGTAGCTGTAGTTGTAGTTGTAGTAGTAGTAGTAGTAGTAGTAGTAGTAGTAGTAGTAGTAGTAGTCGTAGTAGTAGTAGTAGTAGTAGTAGTAGTAGTCGTAGTAGCCGTAGAAGTAGCAGTAAGAGTGGTCGTAGTAGTAATAATAGTAGTGGTACTATTAGTAGAAGTAGGAGCAAACATCTTTAACTAGTCAGTTGTAGAAGTAGTAGTAATACGAATAGTCGTATTACGAGTAGTAGTCGTAGTTGTAGTGGTAGTATTCGCAATGGTCGTGATAGTAGTCATAGTCGTAGTAGTTGTACTAGTCGCCGTGGTAGTAGTAGTAGTCGTAATAGTAGTAGTAGTAGTAGTAGTAGTAGTAGTAGTAGTCGTCGTCGTAATGGTGGTAGTCGTAGTGGTAGTAATACGAGTAGTCGTAGTCGTAATGTTCTTGGTAGTGGTAGTCGTAGTAATGTTAGTGATCGTAATGAGTACTCGTAGTCGCATTCGTAATACTCGTAGCCGTAGCGGTAGTAGAAGTAGCTGTAATAGTAGTAGTAGTCGTCGCAGTCGTAGTCGTAGTAGTAGTAGTAGCCGTAGTCGTAGCGGTACTCGTAGTAGTAGTAGTAGTAGTAGTAGTAGTAGTAGTAGTACTACTACTACTACTCTAACTACGACCACCAAGACTACTACTACTACTACTACTACTACTACTACTACTACTACTACTACGACTACTACTACTTCTACTACTACTACGGCTACTACTTCTACTGCTATTTCTATTACTACTATTACTACTACTACTACTACTACTACTACTACCAATACTTCCTCTACTACTTCTACTACTGCGACGACGACGACGTATACGTTTACCACTGCTACCATTACGTCCACGACGACGACTCTTATTGTTATACGACGACTACTACTATACTACTGATTATATTACAACTGCCGCGACTAGTGGCAGTACAAGTAATAGACATACAACTACCACTAGTAGTATTACTTCTACTACTACTACCACCATTACTACTACTACTACTACTACTACTACTACTACTACTACTACTACTACTACTACTACTATTACTACTACTACTACTACTCACTCCCCTGCTGTTACTACTACTACTACTACTACTACTACTACTACTACTACTACTACTACTACTACTACTACTACTACTACTACTACTACCACTACTACTACTACTACTACTACTACTACTACTACTACTACTACTACTACTACTACTACTACTACTACTACTCCCTCCCTGATCAGTGCGCGGTTTCCGCTGATCACAATGCCCGGAGAGATACAAAGTGTGTGGGGAGAAAGGCTCGGGGGAGGAGGACAAGGCGAGGAGAGGAGGAACGGGAGAGGAGGGCCTGGTTGAGAGAGGACATGGTGATAATCTCATAGCTCCACCACACGTTCGTGATAGTGCTGCTTCGCATCGTAAGATGATTCCCCCGACCAACTCTGTCTTGTCCTGGGATAAACAACCTTCAAAGGTTAATGTGAAGATTCTTTATTATCCGGGGTGCTCGGTTACCGCGAGAGTGAGTACACATAGGGAGGGGGGCGGAAGAGAAACATATGAGGGGCCAACAGGGGTGCCCACCAGGGGGGAAGCGAGAAGGAGAGGTGGGCGGGAGCGGAAGATCGGGATGTGGAGGAGGGAAGAGCGGACGAGGAAGGACAAGATCCGTGAGAGGAAGTGGGCGGCGGGAACGGGAGGGGTGGTGGGGGGGTGGGGAATACGGTCGAGGTCGGTCGCCGCGGGAGCGCGGGCAGACAATGGCTCTCAATCCTCCCCCCTCCCTCGCCTTTCCCTTTACTTCTCGCCCCTTCCTTCGCCACTTCACTTTCCACCCTGTCCTTCTCCACTCCTCTTTGCTCCCTTCGCCCACCCCCCTCGCCCCCCTGCCCTTTGTGTCCGACCATCCCGCTTCACATCCCAGATGTTCCGCCGCTCCAGATCGGTCCCTGGACCATGGACCCTACCAGGGCCCATCCCTGCTAACTCTACGAGCGGCGTCCAGACGTGGCGACGAGAACCTCCAGAAACGCCGCCAACACACCCCAACAGAGGAGCAGTCAGAAGGCGTGAGCGTAACTTTCGGAGCTCCGCGCGGTTTGCATCTGCGCTGGACCCCTCCCTGGCGCGAGGAGCGCGCAGGGAGGCGGCACGGGAGGCGCTGACCGGCGGGCCCAACGCCGATCCACGAAATCCGCGCGGAGCTCCGAAAGTCTATGTTTGCGCCGTTCGCGTGCGACAAACGACGTCGACGACAAACCATTTTTCCCTCCCCTCCGGGCGGCCATGAACAGGAAACTGGACTGCGCGGCGCCTACCAGCCCCACGACGGCGGCACGGGTCCCCTCGGGCATGTCGGCGCACACTGCGCTGGTGAGCTCCATGAACGTCCGAGCCTCGAGGGGTAAAGAGTTGCAGGGAGGCGCCCCCAAGAGGCACCCAAGAGGCTTCCAAGAGGCCCTCAAGCGGCCCCCGAGAGGCCCCCGAGAGGACCCCAAACGCCAGCCCCTTTTCGCTGACACCTACACATATAGAAACGCCCGTGCAGCATCAAAAAGCATGAGAAACAAACGGCCGTGCTCATTGCGCCTGGTCCCGCAATCAAATGCCCCTCAGAGCCCTCTAAGAGGCCCCCGAGGGGCAGTCAGTGAGACCCTCGAATGCACCCCCGAGGATCCTGGCGCACAGGCTGGCACGGTGACGCACCTCTTGACGAACCACGGTTCTTGGCGTGGGGGTCGGCGGGCTGGCGTGAGCCCCTTGCGCGAAGAGCTGTGGTGCAGAGTTGCTACCTCCGCAGCATACGCATGTTTCGATACTGGCCTCATGTCGGCCCGCGCGCGTGCCGTTCGCCTCACGAGCCACATGCAGAGAGATCGCGAGGCTGATCCACAATCCCAGTCGAGAGGGGGGAAGGCCGCTGGGGGCAGGCGGACGAGACGCGGGGGGGATATGGGGGGTGGGATCGAGAGGGTCTAGGGTTAGGTCGGGCCTGTCCCCCGTATAGGCCGATTTTCGAGGACAAATCATCCCCAGACTATCTTTTGTCCATTTTCGAATATTCCTCACTGTTCCCACCACCACCGTCCCCACCACTGTCCCACTGTCCCCAGTATCCCCACCATTGTCCCAGTGTCCCCACTGTTCCCACCACTGTTCCCACCACTGTCCCCACCAATGCCCCCCCCACTATCGCACTGTCCCCACTGTCCCCACCACTGTCCCCACCACTGTCCCCACCACTGTGCCCACCACGGTCCCACTCTCCCCACTGTCCCCACTGTCCCCACCAGTGCCCCCACCACTGTCGCACTGTCCCCGCTGCCCCCACCGCTGTCCCACTGTGCTGTCCCAGTCCCCACCGTCCCTACCACTGTCCCACTGTCCCCACTGTCCCCGCCAGTCTCCCCACTGCACCATTGTTCCATTGTCCCACCACCGTCCTCACCACCTCCCTCACCAGTGTCCCCACCACCAACGTCCCCACCACTGTCCCACTGTCCCCACTGACCCCACTACTGTTCCACTGTCCCCTCACCAGTGTCCCCCACCACCACCGTCCCCATCCCACTGTCCGCACCACTGTCTTACTGTCCACTGTTCCCACCACTGTCCCCACTGTCCCCACCAGTGCCCCCACCACTGCCCCCACCACTGTCGCACTGTCCCCACTGTCCCCACCACTGTCCCCACCACTGTCCCACTGTCCCCACTGTCCCCACCACTGTCCCACTGTCTGGAGTGGGGCAGGAAGGGGGAATCGCTTGCCGGCGGCGAGGAAGGGGGTTCGAACTGTTAGTGACCTGCCCCCCCCTTTCATGATGGACCGGGGGGGGGGGCTGGAACCCCCAGTGACCCCCTGGGGGGGACGGGCTGGAATTCCCCAGTGACCCCCCCCTCCCCGATTTTCTTGCCAGCAGCAGCAGAACACGCTCTTCCTGACCTAGGGGTCCCAACGCTTGGAGCCTACCACCCTGGTTCAGGGTGACGGCCACGCTCGAGCCTGCAAGTCCGGGCGCCCGCGCTATGGTTGGAGAGTGGAGTCGCGGGCGCCATGGTGCTGTATTTACCCTCTCCCCCCTCCCCCCGGCGGGGGGAGTGAAGAAGGAGGGCGACAAGAACAAAGGGGATTGGAACTCCCGGAATGGTTATGGGCAGGATGGGTACGATGCCCAACAGCAAAGGTTGGCCAACATCGACAGCGGCCGCTGTTGGACAGGCGACGTTCTCTCAGATGGACAACGTCAGCGGCGACACCGGCAACGAGCCATGTTCAAAAACGGATAAAAATTGCTGTCGGTCTGTCCCCTTTCTTGCCGTACCAGTTTCGTCCGTGCCGAGGGAGGGAGGGGAGGAGTATTGCGGACGCCCAGTCGCGACCACAGCCCCGAGGGTCGCAAAGCCAGCGCATCCAGCACGCGCGGCGCTCCGAGGGCTGCGGCCCGAATCATCCGGGATAACTCGGGTCCGGGTTGGGTCGGGTTTGGGCCCCCGCGCTGGGGCCCGAATGGCCGATGGCACCCTTGGCATTCGACGTCCGCTTCCTGCAGACTGTCCTTAGCGCGCACGTGGCGGCATTCATGATCATGATTTGCGATCGCATTGAGCATGCTATCTGCGTTACGTGCGCTCGTGAAGCGCTAGTGTGAATGCGGGGGCGTGTTGCGTTATGACAACGCTAGACCGGTTGCCGTGGCCGCCGCGTCTTCAGTGCGGCAGGCGCCATCGCGTGGCACCCACGTGGCGCCCCAAGGCTGTCCTGGACGGGCTCGGTCATGCATGATCAAGGGGTCGGCGGAAATGGCGTAAGCCAAACGAAACGACGTTCACCGCATGACGTCCCGATGCTGTTGGCGAAATTGTAGGGTGCTGTGATTATGGGAGCGCGTTCTGGCAGCGCGTCTCCCCGTGGGATTTCGAGCTACAATGTGCTGCCACGGGCCGCGTGGAATGCTGGCATGTTTTCGGCGGACTGCTGCATCGCACAAACGGTTCGGTTCGACTCTACACTGTGCCGCAAACACAAGCGGAGGACATCAAGGAACAACACAACCACCATGCTGGAACTAACACGAAGGGACACAATGGCATAGGCACAGGTTTAGCGACGCACAAAAACACCACCAGCCGATCGCATATTAATATTTCATGCATGGCCAACACGAGTTTCAGCGTGCAGGGACACATGGCTCGCTCCACGCATGGCTAGAGCGCGATCCATTGAAGACGCAATTTGTTTCCGCAGTGCACTGATTACCCTGCGCTGTGCTTCGGGTGAATTTAGCTCAGGCCTGGCCCATGCGCCAACCGCGCGCTGCCCACGAATTGCTCCTGTTGTAAGGACTCTCGCTGAGCAACCAACTCAAGACATGGCAGGGCGAACATGGAGCCACGGGGCAACACAATGCAGAACAAATGTTTGGAATATCGGTTTGCCCCTTTTTTTTGCCAAGGTGCAAGCCCAAAAAGGGATACTGTTCACAGTGATACCTGCAGTGCGAGCGCCGACGAGCCTCAACATCTCGACCACCGCCTCAAAAATGGCAAACAAACGCGCACCCGAAAACATCCTCCCCTCCATTGCCTTCTTCTTCCTCCTCCAAACTGCCTTCATCGATTATCGACCCCCTCCCGTGTTCCTAGATGATTCCATCGTCCCGTCCATCTTGATGGGTCCCCGCCCATGCTCCTAACTTCTCCCCTGCTCGCTGTCGCAGCTGCCCGATCACAAAAAGGCTCTCCCGCCTCTCCCAGCGCCCCCACACTGTTCATTCTCTCCATCGTTCGCTGCCACCCCCCATTCGCATCCTTCCTCGTCCCCTTCATTACTGCTGGCCCTCGTTTGATCAGTCATCGCCCTCCCCTGTTCTCCTGCACTGCTTCCTCAACGCGTCCTTTGTTTTCGGAAGGCGGCTTTAATCCCTCACACCGCCCGCCAATCGCCACCACCCTCCGTTTTCCGTTTCCGTCCTCTGAATCGTCAACTTCATGTCGTTCCCACGCGTTGCATCGAGCGTCTTGCTCGCGCATTATATCTCTGGCTCCTTCCTCGCCCTCCGGCCCCCCTCTGCCTCCGATGTGTTCCTCATCCACCCGTTCTCGCTGGCGTCGCAAGGAAAACCGAAACGATAATATAATCGCATGGGCGACCCGCCGACCGAACAGGCCACAACCGTGAGAGACCTTCGAACAAAAAAACTTGTCTATGAAGACGCCACACAGTTCTTCACAAATGTTCCTGGGGAGCACGGTTGCGTTCACACACGCAGGGTTCACACGCGAATTGAAGCAAAACGCGCCCAAAGAACGCGCCGATGTCTAACGTGACGATCTGGGGCCGTGCGTATAACCTGTCTGCGCATAGCCCCTCGATGGCCTGATATGTTTTCAAACTCGCGACAACGAGACCTTGGCATGGGTCGCCATGTCATCAAAACCCGACCCATCTGCGTTCAAACAATTCTCAAAATTGAGGTTTCGCAAACCGTCGCAAATTAGTGAATCTGTCATGCGCGAAACGGCCATGCATGTGTCTTTCGTCAAGGCGTTTTCGCAGCCTCCGGGCGCGTCAGTTTTTCTTGGCCCACGTGGCCCTTCCCATGAGACCTACAATGCTGCGCGGTATGGTTCTCTTCACGCACTGGGGTGGAGAGGCCTGAGGAGAGCCAACCAGGCGCCCTAAAGAGGGAACCCGTGAGAGGCAAGATCCTGCAAACCGTCCGGGACAACCCGCATGAGGCCCGACAGATTTCGAAATAGGCCAACGTTTGCTCAGAACTGCGACGCGGGAAACAAACAGGACGCCACAAGAAGCCGTAGGGAGCTTCTCTAAACGCCCCAAAACTCACCGAAGCTTGAAAATCCGCCCAACATCCCATCGGCTTACACAAAAGGCAGAAACAACATCAATATGGATATTCCCGCTGAAATAATGCCCTTGATTTGGTTCCTGTAGTTGGTTGTGAAGCTCTGAAGACGCACAGACGCGCTAGAACTGCCTTCCCCTTCCGCCACCGCCCCCCCCGGCACGACGACGGGTGATGCGCTGCCAAATCTTGTGTGGCAGGGCGCACGGTAATTGAATAAGGGCACCTCTCTATTCGCACGGCGTCGCGTGCACCGCCCCCTCCCTTGACCCCACGAATGCATCGACGGTTCCCCGTCGCTGCCCGCAACGCCTAACATGTTCACAATGGTGTCCAAGACGGCCCTGTAAGGCCACGAAAGCCGCGAAGACGGCCCAAGAAAGGCATGATATGGCCTCACGTAACTCCAAGAGTAATCAACTTGGCACCGACACTACTCAACGAGCCTCCACGTCGAGCCAGGAGGGTTTCGCATGAACCTCCAAGAACGCCTGGCGACGCGAAGCGCTAAACACACAAATCGTTTCTAA